ACGTTTCCGCATTTTTAATGCCGAGAACATCGTGATATGCAGTCCCTTTAGCTCCAATGAAAGACCCGTGTTCATCGCGTAGTACCCACCCCATACCCATAGCACAATTACCACCAGTACCAAACGCGGCATCAGTGTTTAGCTTTAGACGTCCGGGCATCGGCTTCTTCCAGCTTTCATCAACAACGCCATTAATGATTGCAGTTCTATCGAGTTCATTTGACAAACGCCAATTTTGAAGAAGAGAGGTAGCAGAACGAATTGTATCTCTAGCATTGAAGACCACCCCATTCCATATTTTGTTATTTCTGCTCTGCCATAACCCCCAGCAACCAACACAGAACTTGCTAACATCATCACTCGCTAAGGCCTTCAGATTTTCGAAGAACTAATCACAGATACTTCCAGTATTGACCGCAAGGATAGATAAACCCAACAAACTCCACACGTTTTCTGCTTGTTCACACGTCGAAAATAGATGAATAGCAGTTTCATTATAATGATTGCATAGCGGACATAGTATAGAACAGTACACCCTCTTAGCCGATAACGCGTCTCGCGTGGGGAGGCAGCCGGACGCTAGTTGCCAACAGAAATTCCTGATTTTAGGCGAGCATTTATTTTCCATATAGTATTCCACGGCCGAGAGTCATGCCAATCACCAGTAATTCTGCGATAACAAGATTTGACCGTTAACTTTCCTTTGGAATCGGCAGACCAAACTAACAATCAGAGGGCCTCCTCAAACTTACTGGAATCTGAAGAATAAGCTGCATATCTCTCACCTAAAAAACATCCCGTAAACAATCATAGTCCCATCATGGATTCTGCATATCTAAAAGAGCCGATACTGGCGCAGAGGCAATAGATTGATGCAAATCCGTGGAAACATATGGGTTTTGCTCATCCGGTAGCCAAGGATCGCGACCAATTATAGTGGTGTGACCGTTACCAATGCAAAGTGTACAACCTGCTTGCAAAATATGTTGAACTTCCAGCATACCTCTCCAAATAAGTGAAGGGTTGCTGCCCAGACGAGCCTCAAAAAATGACACTGATGGATAGTAATGAGCTTTGTAAATTTGTCCAACGAATGAGTTTTGGCTTCGTAAGAAGCCTCCACGCTTGCTTACAAAGAAGAGTAAGATTCATGTTATGCAGCCTGCGAAACCCCATACCTCCAGCTCCCTTCAGCCTGCACAACCCGTCCCAACATTGCCACCTTATTCCACGCCCTGTACCAACCGCACCGGTGCAGTAGTATCCATTCATCATTACCTCAATTTCATAGCAGAGACCTAGTGGCAACAAAAACACCATCATGGCATACGAAGGCATAGCCTGTATGACATTTTTGAGAAGTTTTTCTCTCCCAGCACGTGATAAGAATCTGGAATTCCAACTACGAATCCTCTGTAATATTTTATCTTTCAGAAATCCAAAGATTTCTTTCTTTTTTTCGGCCTATTAGACATGGGAAACCAAGGTACTTGCCTGAGGTATTGCCTTCGGTAACTCCAAGAATATCAACAATTTCATTCCTAACATTTTGCTTCACATTGGAGCTAAAACAAACCGTTGATTTGTCAAAATTTATTTGCTGATCAGTGGCAATTGAGAATGTATCGAGGACCCATCGCATTCTAATAGATTCCATCTCATTTGATCTAAAGAACAGAAAATAATCATCAGCAAATAATAAATGTGATATCTTTGGTGCATTCTGGGAAACCGAAATACCATGTAAGAACCCCCGCTTCATCTGATTATCAATTAGGCTACTTAATCCTTCTGCAACAAAAAGAAAATCCTTCTGCAACAAAAATAAATAAGTAGGGTGATAATGGGTCACCTTGTCTTAGCCCTCTGCCAGGTATAATTGGTCCGAATTGATGTTGCTCATGTAACACATTGTACCTCACCGTACTAACCATTTCTATAATTATATCAATCCATTTTGCGTCGAACCCCATCTTTAACATAATTGCACGCAAGAAAGAACATTCAACCCGATCATAAGCCTTGCTCATGTCGAGCTTTAAGGCAACAACTCCTTCCTTCCCTTGTGTTTTGCATTTCAAAAAATGATGGACTTCAAAGGCTATCATTATATTATCAGAAATCAGTCTGCCCGGCACAAAAGCACTCTGCGATTCAGAAATTAAATTCTTTAATACTGTCTTTAACCGATTCGCACATACCTTTGAAGCAATTTTGTAGATTACATTACATAAAGCAATCGAACGAAGATCCTTCATGGACTCAGGGTTTGCCTTCTTGGGTACTAAGACAATTAAGGTGTCATTGGCCTTTGCAGGAAGATTGGTAGCTTCAATAAAATCTCTGCAAAAAAGTCTTACATCAGTTCCAATAATATCCCAGAAGTGTTGACAGAATCCTGGACCAAGTCCATCTGGACCCGGGGATTTATCGGGATGCATTTATAGAACAACCTTATGCACCTCATGACTACTAACCGGAGATAGTAACATAGAATTCACCTCAGGTGTTATACGGGTGGTTATATTTTGTAATATGTCCTCCATCTCACACGATGTAGCCGTAAATAAAGTTGTAAAATAATCCACCATAACATGACCCATATCATCCATAGAAGTTGCAAGTGACCCATCATCCTTCCTCAGTACATTTATTTTGTTCCGCCTCCTTCGTGATTTCACCGCATTGTGAAAATATCTAGTATTTAAATCACCGCCCTTATACCAATGTTCCTTCGCCCTTTATTTCCAGAAGTGATGCTGTTGATCAAGTAAATATAAATATTCCTTCTGAGTATTGGAATAGTTCATAAAACTCACTGCATCTCTGCCCATGCGAAGAGCCTCTAGACGAGATTTACAAGCATCAATTCTATGCTGGAAATCCTTGTTGTATCGTTTACCCCATCTTCACAGATCAGATCCACACGTTTCAACACGGTCTAAAATATGTCGACCATGACTACGTTCCCAGGCCTGACATACTATTTCCCGACACCTATCTTCCCGAAGCCAAACATTGTCAAAGAAAAATCTACGACCTCTTCCTCTCACAGCTGAAACCTTTGGGACAAGCAGTAAAGGTAAGTGATCACTGTATGTGCATCCAAAGGTAGAGGCACTGGCTCCATCAAATAACACATGCCATGATTCATTTACAAAAATTCTATCAAGCTTCTCCTCGATCATATTAGGAGTGCCCCGGGATTTCTCCCATGTGAATTGATTTCCTTGGAAAGCCAATTCATGCAACCCACAGTCCGAAACAGCTGCATTAAACCCCGAAAATAGCCATTGGGGGTGAGGATGTTGACCACGTTTTTCGGACTGAGCTAACAGGTCATTGAAATCTAATACCGAAATACCCTTTTTATATTATATATATATATATATATATATATATATATATATATATATATATATATATATATATATATATATATATATATATATATATATATATATATATATATATATATATACACACACATGTGTGTGTGTGTGTGTTTGTGCGCGCGCGCGCGCGTGTGTGTGTGTAGAGGCTGGGGGTTTTTCAGAGGTGACCTTTGTGCACGCTTTCAGGGAACAAAATATAGTTGCGGACCTTTTGGCGTCATAAGCGGTGGCTAGCACTACGGGTTTGTGCATCATGGAAGCCCCTCCGGCAGCTTTGGCAGAAACGATGTACCTTGACAAGGTTGTAGCAGTATCAAAGAGAAGGCTTTAACACGACTCTCGCTGAGGGTTTTAGGCTCTAGTTTTTTGGGTATCCCCCTCTCTCTGATAATATATATATATATATATATATATAGGGAAGGGATCAAGTGCATTTGTGGCTTCCCGTGCGGATGTGCGGTGGATTAATGTGCGTGAGATTTATACTTAATGTGCGTGATATTTGTACTCAATGTGCCTGAGATTTGTACTTATTGTGCGTCATGTTAATATGCGTGAGTTTTGTACTTAATGTGCCTGAGTATTGTGTTTAATGTGCGTGAGATTTGTGCTTAATGTGCGTGAGTATTTCAGAATTACGAGCTCAGAAGGAAGCAGAACAGAAACTCACGCATATTAACTCCCTAACTTCTTGTTACTTCTTCCTTCAACTTGGCCATGGATTCTGGATTATCGCTACCTTCAGTGCAGTTGAATATTTATATAGATGACGCACGCACAGTAAAATTTGCACAGCAGCTAAGTGTGGATTTATGTTGTATTATTCCCATAATTCTTAACCACCATAGCTCGCCTCCATATCATCATCATCAGGGAGGGGGCAATGGCTACTGGGGATGATGGGGAAGAAACTGACATCAATATTTTCTGCTGCATTTTACACATTCACGCACATTAAGTACAAATCTCAGGCACATTAAGCACAACACTCACGCACATTGAGTACAAATCTCACGCACATTAATCCACCGCACATCCGCACGAGAAGCATTCATTCGCACGGGAACCTTTCACTATATATATATATATATATAACCACCACCACATATTTTTATAAGGGTATTTATGTCTTTTAAAAAATGTATCATTTCTATTCTTTAAACAAAAAATCCTAACTTATGAAAGCATTCCTTGTAGTCTAATGGCACAAAGATTATACTCCCATATGAGAGATTGTGGGTTTAAATCTCATAAAAAAAATCTAAATGGAATTTTAAATTAATATGACCTGTGTTAACCTCGAGTCAAACAAATTTTTTTTTTTTATTTTTGAACAAACACATTTTGAAAATGCATTTGGTGTATTAAATATGTCAATCACGTTTTCAAAATACATTTTTGGTATATATACGTGAATATACCCCATGCATATTTTGGAAATGCATTTTGGGTATAAGTTTTTGTATAAAAAAAAAAAAGGAAAAAACTTTTTGGAATATGCACTTTAATTTTGGTTCAATCAAAACAAAAAAAAATATTAATAAAATAAAATAAAAGGAAAAGGGTCAAATATACAAGAAATTGTGGACGACAGTTACTCTAGAAATGGACAAGCTGGCTGCGGAGGAGTTTTGCGTGATAACTGATAACAATGGAGAATGGAAAAGGGGCTTCATGATCCCCACCAGTTCGAGAAATGCAGCTGAAACAGAGCTCCTAGCAATATTCCATGGGTTAGAATGGGCTTGGAAAAGAGGTCTTAGAAGGCTTGAAGTTCAATGTGATTCTGAGGATGCCATCAACTGGATTAGAGGCGTGACAACTACCAATGACCCTATGCTCAACTATGTTGACAAGTGCAAGAGGTTACTTACTAAACAGTGGGATGTCAGGCTGCTTCATGTTTTGAGGGAGAAAAATATGGCTGCCGACGCTATGACAAAGGAGGCTAGAGCTTACATGGGAACGTTTGGTGACATTCAAATTCCACCGACGAGCGTTGTCCACAGAATCGAAGAAGATTGTATTGGCCGCACCTGGCAAAGATGGTCTATTGAGAGGAACTCTTAATTGATGTCATGGGTTTCCCCCTCCTACCTGATCGAAAATAAAAAGACCCTTCAACCTTACTCTAAAGTGCAATTAGTGTTTGAACTTTAAAAAAGTGAAATTAAACATTAGAATTTGTCAAAATAAATCAAATAAGTCTAATTTACTAGTAACCAACATGTTACCATTAAAATTATCGACGTTGGCCACCGTTGACCGCCACTAATTACTGTTCACCATCGTAAAAAAAAAAAAGAAGACCAAATTCTTGTGACCACTTCCACTGGAGAAGACGACCGGACTGGTCGTCTTCTCCATTGGAGAGGGCGACCAGATCTGGTCACCTTCCCCATTGGAGAGATCGCCTTCTCTGGCCACCTGAATTTTTTTTAAAAAGTTTTTTATGGTTGTCAGAATTTTTATTCGCCGGAATGTCGCCTGAATCCTAAATAACCGGTTATTCCAGGTGAATAACTGACTATTGGGTAACTGGGTTTAGATGCCCCAAAAGGATAAGTTCGAGTGTTTAATTGCAGTTTTTTAAAGTTTAAGGGCCTAATTACACTTTTGAGTAAAGTTGAAGGGTCTATTTGACCCTTTTTTTTCTTTCGTTTTTTTTTTTTTTTTAAAACACATTTTCCAAAAGCTTTTATTCCTAGAATTGTCCAAAATTAAAATGTTTTCTATTTTTATCCACAACTTTTATTTTCTTCATATTTTAGTCAATTTTGTGTTAGTTGAGTATATTGTTCTAATTTTTTTTTTTTTTTTTTTATATCTATTGGAGGGGGGTGACCCATACAAGATAGCAATACAATATCAAATTCAGCGAGAGGTTTGGCGCCACACTGGAACCCCACAGCCGTCATCTTCAAGAAGCTGTATACCTCTTGGTAATTTCCTGGATAAGGCAACCAATGCGTCCGCAACGCGGTTCTGTTCCCGCAAGATCAGAAAAACATTCCATTCATCAACTCTGCTTAGTTCCTTTCTACAGGCGACCAGGATATTCTGAGTTGTGATATTAGCCAAGCTACCACCATCTCGCTGGAATCACTCTCAATATCTAGCCTTGTGAGACCCTTTGATAACCCGAGTTGGATCCCCTTCAACAAAGCCTAGGCCTCCGCAGCCAGAGGGGAGCAAGTGCCAATACTTAGCGCAAAGCCCCCTATCCACTGACTAGTACAATCCCTCAAAACGCCTCCGCAGCCAGCTTTTCCAGAACTTAGGTCCACAGAGCCGTTGACATTAATTTTGAACCGGTCTTCCAATGGTCGTGACCATCTGAGTAGCTTCCAGTGGGATGAATCTTCATGGCTTTGAACAGCTTTGGCCTTAGAAAAAAGCATTACCAACTACCTCCAATTATTACAGATTTGGAAGAAGATGAAAAGTGTTTGAACAAAGTAATTTCTGATTAGCTTCAAACTGTCTTTACAACAAGGCTTATATACACTTGTGTAAAATAGAGGGAAAGGCAGTTGAAATAGACCAACAGATATAATAGCTCTAGCCACTGCTTTCTAACTTCTGGAATGATGAGGTGCTGCCAAGTGGCTTCAATCTGCTTGTTCTCCTGAAATCCCCCCACAAGCTGGATTGTATAAATCTAACAAGCCAAGCTTGGAAATGTAGCAATTAAAAGAGCTCGGACAGTGGGTCTTTGTGAAGGTATCTGCTAATTGGTTTTCAGAGGTAACATGGAACAATCTGATGAGGCCTTTGTTTAACTTCTCCCTCACTAAATAACAGTCAAGCTCTATGTGTTTTATCATCTCGTGGAACACTGGGTTCTGAGCAATAGCAATAGCAGATTTGCTATCACAATATGTAGTTATTGCCTTTGTGTTCTTAACTTCAAATTCTGCAAGGAGGAAGGACAACCATTGGACTTCACATGTTGTTGCTGCTAATGCCCTATACTCTGCTTCTGATGAAGACTTTGAGACTGTAGGTTGCTTCTTAGGTTTCCATGAAATTAGAGCCTTGCCTAAGAAGATGCAGAAACCAGTGACAGATCTTCTTGTATCAACACATGCTCCCCAATCTGAATCTGAAAATGCCCTAGCTGTAAATCTGAATTAGATGGGAAGAACAGTCCCTAGCCAGCAGCACTCTTCACATATCTCAACACCCTATGTGCAGCTTGTAAATGTAGATTGGTAGGTTTATCAAGAAATTGGGATAACTGTTGAGTAGCAAAACTGATATCAGGCCTTGTGATTGTTAAGTAGAGAAGTTTACCAACAATTTTCCTATACTGGCTGTTGTCTTCAAGAGGCTCACCCTCATCTTTGCTTAGTTTGTGTGAGGGAACTGTAGGACTATGGACATGCTTTGTGATAAACATTATTTTGGTTGCTATTTTTAATAATCATTTTATAGTTAATATACAATAATTGATTGATTTTATATTTATTTTATTCATTATTGTCAAAGGTAGCTTTATTAATATTATTCTACTTTAGGATTGTTTTTATTAAATTTGTCTATTATTTGAATTCTGTTAGTCCAATAATTCTTTGATCCTAATTTATTAATAATAATATTAATTTTAGTAGTACATGATCAACAGGAGTTTAATAAATGTAGATTAGTTATATATGGTCTCTAATAAGATTATTATTATTATTATTATTATTATTATTATTTATTGAGAAAGGAGAGACGCAGCTTGGTCAATTAACGCGAACGAAGATCGGACGGAGAAGCGGAGTCTTCAGCTAATCCTTGGGAGATCCGATTGAAGTGAGCGGTTGACCGGAGCAATTCTCAGGAAGCGTTGAATCTGAACAATATAAATAGAAGACGGATTAAGGAAGGCAGATCATCAATTCACCCCGGACTGTTCTCGGCGGCGCCGGCGCCAGCTATGTTTCTGACCGACGCACGCAGCAGCTTCAATCTCTCACCAGCAAATTAATCCGGGTGATAATTCTTTGGGTGCAGCTTTAATTCGGTGGCAGCAATTCAATTTGGTATCATCAATTCTTGTTAGCAAGGTCAAATTGTTTTGATTGCAACTTCAATTCTGTGCATTACAAAGTGATTTTCACATTTATGTTTACGGGAGATGTGATAATTCCATTTGAAATTTTTATTAAGATTAGGATGTTTAATTAATTTCTTTCCTAAGCTTTTGCAGTAGTTTTAGTTTTACTTTACAATTCATTATGTTTTATTTACGAAATGCTAATGAGTACTTAGTGCATAATATTTGATTACAATACTAATTATAATGTTTAGTGCTCAAGTATTTGTTAATCGTGATTCCTTTATTGCAATGGTAATTGATTCATGTTCTTAGGCTTCTCTATTTTTATTATCAAATCTAATTCCAGTCTTTATTCCCTGTCATTGTGTTTCACAATAATTCAATTATCTTTTCTGCCTTGATTTCTACCGCGTTTCCATTTAATTTTTATTCCATTTTGATTGCCGTTTGGTTTTTAAAATTCTTTATATTGTCAAGTTACTTTAATTTTATGTTCATTAAATTGCATTGTTATTAAATTGCACCGTATCAATTCTCTGAGGGATCGACCCTTGCTAAAAGCACGCTACAACTACAATTGACTCGTGCACTTGTGAGGACATTACATTAAAATTGTCCATCACTTTGAGTTAGTGAAACCAGTGTCTCCAAGAAGTTCAATTGCATACTTCCTTTGACACATTAAAATGCCTTTCTTTTGTCCAGCTACCTCTAAGCCAAGGCAGTACTTTAGAGGTCCTAGGTCCTTTATCTGGAACCTTATATTGAGCTGACTTTTCACTTCATGTATAATATGCAAATCAACACTAGCTACCACAATGTCATCTACATAAACCAATAAGGCTACAAAAGAGTTCTCTTTACCTCTGGTAAATAGAGAATTGTCAGCCATGGCTTGGTGAAATCCCATATCTTGTAAGGCAATACTCAACTTGGTGTTCCATTGCCTACTAGCCTGCTTCAAGCCATATATGGACTTGATTAGTCTACACACTTGTCCAGTTTTATGTCCTGAAAAACCAAGGGGTAGTTGCATATAGACTTCTTCTTCTAGATCACCATTTAGAAAGGCATTATTTACATCTAACTGATGAAGATGCCAGTCCCTTGCTGCTGCAACTGCCAACAATTTTCTAATGGTGGTCATTTTTGTAACTAGACTAAAGGTGTCCAGGTAATCAACTCCAAGAACTTGGTTATAACCTTTTTCCACAAGCCTTGCTTTGTACCTTTCTATGGTGCCATCAGCCCTATGTTTGATCTTGTAAACCCATTTGCAGCCAATGGGTTTCTTAGAATGAGGCAAATTCACTAACTGCCAAGTATTATTTTTCTCTAGGGCATTGATTTCATCTTGCATGGCTTTTCTCCAACACTTATGCTTGACAACTTCTTGATAGTTTTTAGGCTCAGAATGACAAGTAATGTTCATCACAAAGGACTGAAAATGTGGTGCCAATCCTCCATAGTCTAGTACTTTGCATATGGGATGTAGAGAAGTCTTTACTTCTGCATTCTGACAGACATATTCTTTCAGGTAAGCAGGAGTACTTCTGTGTCTTGTGGACTTTCTGGTGGCCTGCTGTTGAGGAGCTTCTGGTATAGGGATGTGTGTATTATTGGGCTCATCAGACTCAGGAGTTCCATTATGAGGAGAATTCCAGGTCTGTTCAATCTGGTTGTTCTCATGAAAATGTGATTCATCTGGTGGCTGTTTAGGGGCCAAGTTATGATGCATATAAATCTTCTCATTGATGTTACTGTCTTATCTTTGAGCATGAGAAACCTCAGAGATTTCAAGAGGCATATTGCCCATTGTAGGAAGTATAACTTGAGAGCGCCCCTTTTCTAGATTATCAGCTTGTTGGAAAGGAAAGACATGCTCATAGAAAATTACATCCCCAGACATATACAGTTCTTTAGAGACAAGGTCATAAACTTTATATCCTTTTGTGTCACTTGCATAGCCAAGAAATATACACTTCTTGGCTCTAGCATCAAACTTAGATCTAGGCCCAACTATAGTAGCATATGCTAAACAACCAAAGACTCTCAAGTGTTGGTACTGAGCGACTTTCTTGATCAAGACCTGGTAGGGGATCTGGTTGTTGATGGCAGCAGATGGAAGCCTATTAATTATGTAGGCTGCATGTAGAACACACTCACCCCAAAAGTGATCTGGCAAATTGGCTTGAAACTTGATAGCCCTAGCAGTTGAGAGTAGGTGGCCATGTTTCCTTTCTACCCTGCCATTTTGTTGAGGTGTGTATGTGCAGGATGTTTGGTGCAGAATTCCTTTCTATTTGAACAACTCAATCATGTCAAATTCCATCCCATTGTCCGACCTTATACACTTCACACTTGTTCCAAACTGATTCTCCACAATGCTGCAAAACTCAGTGATCAGTCTTCTAACTTCAGATTTCACTTTCATCAAGTAAACCCATAAAGCTCTGTTGTGGTCATCTAAAATTGTAAGAAAATAATGATGGCCATGGATAGTAGGTGTTTTGTAAGGCCCTTATATATCCATGTGCAACAAATCAAAACAATTAGATGATATAGAATTACTGGACTGAAAAGGAACTCTTTTCTGCTTTGCAAAACGACAATTGTCACAAACCAATTCTTTATTAACATGAATCATAGGTTCTAATCCTTTCAAGAACTGAAGTTTGGAATATGATGCATGCCCTAACCTAGCATGCCATACAACACATTTATTGGCAGCTGAAACAGAATTACATATGGAATGTATGATAGGAAACACTAAATGATATAATCCACCTTGCAGCTCAGCCCTTCCAATCACCTTGCCAAGGATAGCATCCTGTATGATGCATTGATTAGAGAACATCTTAATAGCATAGTTAGAGTTCTTAATGAAGCAGCCTACTAAAATCATATTGTAATGAAAGCCAGGGACATAGAGCACATTATGCAAGGCAAGGCTATCTGACAAATAAACTGATCCAATGAAGGTAATTGTTGCTTGCTGACCATTTGGCAAGTTAACATAAAGATTATGAACTCTTTTCTGGCTGCTTAGTAGCCTCAAATCACACACAATATGGTGTGTAGCACCACTGTCAATGATCCAGTCATTAATGCCACTATTAACAATATTGATTGTAGGAATCATACCTTCATTTAGAAAGTCAGATGACACAGTGTTGATCAGTGCTTGTGAGGGTTGATCCAGAGGTGAATTCATGCTCTCACCAGCTGGCCTTTTAGCTTGCATGAATTCCAAGAATTTCTTAAAATCCTCCTGAGTGAAAGACATACTTCCATCAGTGTTGGACTGCTGTGTTACTGATGGGGCTTGAACTTGATTTACTGAGCCTTGATTTCTTGATCTTGGCTTCCAACCGGGGGTATCCATGCTTCTTATAGCATTTGTCTTGGGTATGACCTGTGTACTCACAATATGTACACACAGGCTTTTTGTTGGCAGTTGGATACTTCTTGAACCCTGGTTGGAAATTGCCATCAGTTCTGGCCAAGAAGACATTCCCAGTGGTACTACTCTCACTTGCTTGATATAATTGACTTCCAAGCCCATTGCTAGCCATATGAAATTGCCTCTCTTGTTGAGCAACCATAGAGTAGGCTTCATTGACATCCAGCAAAGGTCTCATTAACATAATCTAATTTCTGGCTCCTGTGTATCTTTCATTTAAGCCAATAAGGAAGATGGAGAGCTTGTTCTTTTCTGACTGTTCATTCAGATCATCTAATTTCTTGCCACATTCACACTTTGTACTACAACCACAATGCATTAGAGGCCTGAGGATGCTCAATTCATCCCAGAGTAGCTTCTGTTTAGTGAAGTATTCATTAAGAGTGTTCTCTTGCTGCTTAGTTTGATAGATTTCACATCTGATTTCTGATATCTGGAAGAGGTCTTGATGACTGAACCTCCTTCTCAAATCATCCTAGATCCCATAGACCGTATCGATCAATAGGACACTACGGCCGATTATAGGGGATAGAGTACGCACAATCCACGAAACCACAATGTTATTGCACCTTTCCCAGGCGAGATACCTTTCTAGATTATCTCTGGGAGGTTTCGTGATTGTTCCATTAACGAATGCAACTTTGTTTTTGCGAGATAGGGTCATGGTCATTGCCCTGGCCCATGGATGATAATTTGTTCCATCATGGGGAATAGACAACAGTTCTAAGGCTAGGTTCTCATTTATGTGAAGGTAGTAAGGGTTAGACTGCAATTGAGGCTCGAATGTTACCTCTGCGGTGTTCAATCCGGTTGCCGAAACTGAGGAAGAGGGTGTTCCTTGAGGAACTGTACTGGTTGCCTGATTAGGCATTGCACCAGGTGCTTGACTCCCTATTGGATTCTCAATTGGTGTTGTTCGATTGCTGAGAGGTGGCCACGCTGCCATGGAAGCAAGATTTAGGGTTACATATTCTCTCTCCGCTCTGATACCATATTACAGATTTGGAAGAAGATGAAAAGTTGTTGAACAAAGTAATTTCTAATTAGCTTCTAACTATCTTTACAACAAGGCTTATATACACTGTGTAAAAGAGAGGGAAATGCAGTTGAAATAGACCAACAGATATAACAGCTCTAGCTACTGCTTTCTAACTGTTGGAATGATGAGGTGCTGCCAAGTGGCTTCAATCTGCTTGTTCTCCTGAAACCAATTGCAATCTAATCCACGCAACTTAATTAGATGTTAGGGGTAAAGTCACGTTTTAAAAAATGGCTTTATTACACCATTTCCACAACCACCAGCATGTTAAAGCGAACTGAGTACTACTGTTCAGGGGGCTCCTACCGTTGCCTATGCCCCGCGATTCCAGAATCTAGCCACTTTGAAAACGCCTCCGAGTTGGACTCCGTATGGTCAATAGGAGAGATGGCTCTCCAGACTTATCAGCTACCGGGCATCTACGGAGAACATGTTCCGTATCCTCGATAGCGTTATTACATAGCCAACACTTATCACAAGTTGCTTTGTCGCGCCTCACTCTGTTACTATTTGTCATAATCTTCTCATGCTTCACTAGCCACAAGAAGGAACATATACGATTAGGAACCTTCAGTTTCCAAATATTGTTCCACTTAGCCGCTTCCAGTGAGGAAACATAACCTGTTGCCAGTTCATAAGCAGAAGTAACAGAAAAGTTTCCATTGGCTTCCTTCGACCAACCAATAAAGTCCTTCGACTCTGGATCATCACAAATAATTATTGCTGCGATTTTACTGAGGGTATCCTCCGGGAGAATCCAATCCAACTGGTCCTAGACCCATCCAACATGAGAATCCCAGTAATGCGATACTGGTTTGAGAAGATCGCAATGTGGGATTGGAGCCAAAGTCAGTTATTGCAGGGGCAGTCTTCCACCCAGATATCCATCCAGAATCATGTATCTCTTCCATTCCTAACGAATTTCTTAACTCCCTTATGAAGAATCGGAGTAGCCTTAAGAATCCGTTTCCAAGCATTCGACATATTTGCTTTCGGGATCTAAGTTGAAAAGCTCGAAGAGACACTGCGTACTTAGCTCTAAACAGCTGAACTCATAGACTATCTTCATTCTGCGCCAATCTCCAGACAAGCTTCGCCATAAAAGCCTCATTCATTTGGTCTAATTTCTGGATACCCAATCCCCCATTTGATTTATGTCTCGATACAGTATTCTAGTTAACTCAATGGCAGCTTCTCGAGTCATCAGTGCCACCCCAAGGAAACCTCGGTATCGATCTTTCAACGGATGAAGTCACTCCAGTTGGTAGCAACGTCGATTGCATTGTATAATAGGGGATTGATGAAAGAACTGACTTAGCAAGAACCTGTTTGCCTGCTAGGGACAAGGTTCGAGTTCTCCAGCCCGCTAGCCTAGTTTGAATTCTTTACATGATACCCGCAAAAGACTCATTCTTTAATCCTTCCATGTATGGATGGAACTCCTAAATATTTGCCCAAGTCCATCACCTTGGGAATTCAAGTTAAGTTCTAAATCTCTAGCTGCAGATCAGTCTGAGCATTCTTAGAAAAATAGATGGAGGATTTCTACAGGTTGACTCTCTGTCCGGAACTACTGCAAAAACTCTCAAGGCATGCCTTCATCTCCCTAGCTTGACATACTGACGCTTCGCCAAATAGTACCATATCATCTGCGAAAAATAAATGGGTAATATGAGGCCCTTGTCTATTTATTTTGAAGCCTTTCCAGTGACTTAAAGCCATAGACTTCTTAATAAATTGGCTTAGTCTTTCTATGCATAAAACATAGAGAAGAGGGGATATACGGTCTCCCTGTCTGATTCCACGCTCCGGCTTAAACCATTCTGACTGATGACCGTTCCATGTGGTTGCCAACCTTGAAGTAATTATGCAAGTCATGATATTCCTCATCCAAGTGCTGTTGAACCTAATGTCCTTTAACGTGTCTTCTATGAAACCCCACCAAAGTCTATCACGTGCCTTCTCTAAGTCTATTTTCATTATCGTCCAGTCAAAGGCTCCTTTCTTGCACCTCATTGAATTGAGAACTTCTTGGAAGACCAGAATGTTGTCTGTAATTTGACACCCCGGCACAAAACTTGTTTGATGAGGACCGATAAGCTTTCTGAAGATTTCCTTGACTCTCAATGCCATTGTTTTTGTTAGGATCTTGTAGGTAACATTGCACAACTCGATTGGGCGAAACTGCTTCACGAAATCCATGGAGGATACGTTGGGAATAAGGGTAATTGCTGTATCATTACAGCAATCCAGGAGCTCACCCTTTTCAAAAAAAACATACATGGAAAACTTTATTATAGAGTCACCTGTTGGTCCCAGTAGTGTATAACGAGAGTCTAGAGGGGGGGGGGGGGGGTTGAATATACTCTTTTCAAATTTAAAACACAAACACTAGAGAATGATGCAAATCCGAAATTTTTGTGTTCTTTTTAATGTTTCTTTGCACACTTTCGTTATAGAAAGGTTAAGATGTGATGAATGTGGATGTTATGCAATGCAAATAATATAAACAAAAGTAATGAGCGAGAGAGTGAGAGAGAGATTTTTATAGTTGTTCGGCTGTTAACAAAGCCTACCCCACTCTTCTTTCACAACTCGTGAAAGGGTTTGTACTATCACTCCTTAGTACAAACAAAGCCAAGCTGCGTCATTGATTACTAAGCCGGATCGCAACTTGCTAAGTTTTTTAACTCATCGAGTTTACTCCGCCTCTATCAACTTCTTCTTCAGAGTTGAGGGTTGGAAAATGTTGATGTTGATTCCAACTTGAAATCTTGGCTTGAAGTAGCTTGATCTTCGTTTAAAAAGCAGCAAGATTTCCTTGGTGTTATGAAAACTTAGATGAATGGATGATCTTTTTGAAATAAGCCTTCACAACTACACGTTGGTTCACAAAGCTTATGATGATCAGTTTTAAAGCTTTTTAGATAGAAAATAATGATAAAAACCAGCACATTCTTCAAGTGATGAAGAGGGGTATTTATTGGGTGAGAAATTCATCCGTTGGAGGGAGATGGAAATTTCAAACCTATTGACTAGCGTGTAATGACCTCTGGGTAAGGAGCCTTAAATGCGGCTGTGCTGTGTAGCCATTGGCTTCAAAAAGTAACCAACCATTTTGTCATTTTGTGCAGACAAAAGGTACTAATCATTAAATGCTCCTTGATATTTGAAATTTCATTCCTAGGACACTATTTGTCTAGGATGATTTACCTAACACTCAGACTTAGACAAATATGCTCTTGATAGCATATGAATCTTGTCGAATCAACACTATAAGAAATTTCACATTTAATGATAATAGAAGTTGTCACCAAAACTATCGATTTTGGTCACTATTGAAATTAGTGACCAATTTTTGAAGTCGTCACCTGTCGTCACTATATCCTTCGTCACTATTGTAGTAGTGACAACTTTTGAAAAATTGTCACAATTATTAAAACCTTTGTGCCAATGTTTACGTACACTAAAAATAGTATTTGAGTGATATCAATAGTTGTCACAATAAATGTACAATTTTTTTTAAAAAAAACAATAAATGTACATTTTGTAACGAAATATGTTATTACAAAAAATTGATCTAGTGACAACTAAAATTGTTGCAATTAATTATTTTATTATGAGCACTTTAGTCACAATACTTATTTGTGAGAATTGTTATTAGCTCAAAAATGATAATCAGTGACCTAAAAAGTTATATCAAATAATTATTTTGTTGTTGCAAGTTGCAACAATCATGGTAACAAATGTTGTATTTATTTGTGACAAAAAGAAGTTAACTTTGAAACAATCATTGGTGCTAACTAAAGCCGTAACAACAATACTGAAAATTACTGGCAAAACTTGTGTCACTAAAATAAGTTTAAATAGTGTCACTATTGTCATTCTTGATGTTTTTATAAGTGACCATTACTTGGTCACTTTTTTTTTTTTTTTTTCAAATAATACTAACCAAATGCACACAATATATAATTATTTATTTCAAAATCTTGGCATATTTAAATGTTTTAATTTAAGTATTATCTGGAATAAAATAATCCATTCACCAAATGTTACTCGTCAAATTAAAATATATATTAAAAGAGACCTCATTGTCTAACAAATATATGTTGTTAGAGATACAATATAATGCAAATAAAAATATTTTAAAATAAAATGTCTTTGATTATTTTTCACTTGAGGTAATGATGGAGATACATTAGCATATTTGGAATCCCTTGATTGTTTGAAAAGTGAGCAAAAATTTGCTTGATTTCAGCCGCTTGTTTCTTTAAAGCTACTTGTGCAATTTCTTTAAATTTTGCAACTTCTTCTCCCAAGTACTTTCCTACAGTAAAATGAAATTAAAAAAACAACAACAATATATAAGTATACGATATTATATATAAGAGCAAGAATAAATTTTAAACTCAAAATTTAAAAAATCGTATCACATGTACAACCAATAACAATTAAGTATGTTATTTTAACAATTATATTTCCTCAAGACAAAGATGAAAATTAAATGATACTTACAACACTCTTTGTAACACCCCAAAATTTAACTTCTTAAACTTTCCGAGATATATATATATATATATATATATATATATATATATATATATATATATATATATATGAGTAAGGGATTCATGGCTGAAGCTAGAAAGTTCTTTTCAAATTTCTAACCGTAACTAAATCTTCAATTTTTTATTTTGTAGGAAAGAGATTGAAGCAAAATAGCTATGAAACGATACCTTTGGTTTACTAGAGGCATCAACATATTGTTTTAGCTCGGTGGAAAAAAATACTTTTCCTCAGGATCCTAAGAATATTAAAGAATTAATCTAATAAGTAATAATATTTATATTTCACCAATTTAAGAATAAGCCTATATAGAATAAAGTTCTGGTGCACTCCACTCTTAAAGTGTGAACCGTGTGCACTTGTCTTAATCGTTCATCTTAGATGATCAATGGACACGGGTGAGGGTGCATGGGGCTCGTGTGCACCGCGTTTGAATAGTGCATCTTTGTTGACAAGTGTGGGGCCCTTTTTTGATATAACTCTAATTCTCTGCAATTCGGTAGTGGAATAACTACGGGTTCAGAATTCTAATTGGGGGTTAATTCCTCTACGGCTTCCGGTGGTGCGGCTCTCTATTCATCTCGATGTTGCAGGTTGGGTGTCGGAAGTTCATGGCACGGTCAAGTGGATATCGTCGGTCCATGGGGGTGGGTCTGGGCGTCCGTTCACGCCGGGAACGCCAGCGGCGGCTGGGGCGCACATGGTTGCAGTGGGAAACTGGACCTTCAAGCGTGTAACAATCCTACCCAAAACGCTGCGTTTGATACTTAGGCAGTTACGGGTAGAAGTAGTTAGAAGCAAGGAAAAGACAAGAATGCCCTGCTTGTTATTACTTAAACCAACTGTTGTAACCATTTCATTTTGTTGAATGAATTCTCTTCTTTCGTTTCTTCTCTTTTCTCTTTCAATCTAAGAACTGTAACAGCTGGTATCAGAGCTCATGACGAACACCCGCAGAGATTACGATGAGGCAGCAAGGCACATTACTGAAATTCAAGAACAAATGCAGGCGATGCAAGCTCAGATGAACGACAGCCAGAGGGCTCAAGCTGAGACATTGGGGGCATTCCAAACGGGCTTCCAAGCGTTCCAAACTGAGGTCAGGCAGTGGATGAGGAACATGGTAGCTCCAGGACCTGCCATTCTGCAAGCTGGAGGCCAAGCGCAGCATTCAGAAGCCGGAAGCACTTCAGTCAATCCCCCAACCAGGGTTGATCGACCATCTGTAGGTAACCGGCCAATCCCTATTCATATTGACAATGCTTCAGGGGTACAAGGGGGGAATGCACAGGGTCAGGATCAGCCTAGACACTTGTTGCGCAATAACGAGGATTACTTGAGAGCCCCTAAACCCAGAATTGAGTTCCCTGAGTTTGATAGTTCAAACCCTAGGGGATGGGTTCGAAGATGTAATAAATTCTTCCTTCTTTACCGTATTCCTGAAGAATTGAAGATGGAATATGTGTCTTTTTACATTAAAGGGGGTATTGATGCTTGGTTTGAAGGGTATGTATTGGATCATGGGGGGGGGGGGGGGGGGGGGGGAATATTCTGGGATGAGTTTGCAGAAGATGTATGTAGGAGATTCAGCTCTTTTGGCCTAGAGTGTGTAGAGGAGGAGTTCAAAATGTTGAGACAGTCTGGAAGTGTAGAGGAGTACAATAATAGGTATGACGAGCTCAGAATCCAAATGTTAATGGCACATCCCACCTTGACAGAAATGTACTTCATCAGAAACTACACTAGTGGATTAAAGAGCCATATAAGATGCTTTGTTAAAACCACCAATCCACTTTCCCTAATGGATGCATATGTGTATGCTAGACAGTTTGAGGAAGGATTGATGGGAACTGAATGGTCTGCCAGAGGAATAACTAATGCTCACAACCCACCTTCTGCTAATAGCAACAGAAGGCAACCTACAGTCCAACTGAGTCAGGCAGAGATGGAGAAACTTAAGGAACAAAAGTTATGTTTCTATTGCAGAGAGAAGTGGCAACATGGCCACAAGTGCAGACCTAAATCCTTTAATGTGATGACTGGCCTAGAAGGGACTCAGCTGGAACAAGGGGAAATAGAGGAAAATTTGGGAACTGAGAACAGTTTTGAGGAAAAAGAGGGGGTTGCTGAAGTTTCTCTCTTAGCTATGCTAGGGGGGAGGGGTTGAGCACAATTAAGCTGCTGGGAAAAGTGGGAAAAAGGAAGTTGATCATATTAGTGGATACAGGAAGCACTCATAGCTTCCTGGACCCTGCAGTAGTCCAAGGGCTCAAATCTCACATCTACAAGACTAACCCTCTCTATGTAACAGTAGCCAATGGGCAGACATTGATGTGTGATGAGGCTTGTAGTGAATTCTCATGGACAGTACAAGAAGAAGAGTTCAAGAGAGATTTCAGATTGCTAAGAATGGGGGGATGTGATATGGTTTTGGGCATGGACTGGCTTGATCAGTTTTCCCCTATTCAGTTGCACACCAGGCCATTAGGAATATCCTTCAATAGAGAAGGGAGGGAGGTGACACTAGAAGGCATCTCTGGAAGAATGAATCTTAAGGAAGCTACCACAAAAGAGAAGGCCAGTTGGACCAGGAAAGGAGCCCTAGGGTTCTTAATTGTCTGTTGCAACCCAGAACAAAACCCAACTGAATTAGCTGGATTCTGTAATGCTATAGAATCCTCATTGGCAACTAATGAGAAAATGAGTACTGCAGTAGAGGAGTTACTTGAAAAGTTTGTTGATATTTTCCAGGAGCCCCAAGGGTTACCCCCTACTAGAAGACATGATCATGCCATTCCCTTGGTGCCCAATGCAATCGCTGTCAATCTAAAGGCTTATAGATACACTCATGATCAGAAGGATATCATTGAGAAGATGATTGCAGAGATGCTGCAGGCTGGAATAGTATGCCCCAGTACCTCTCCATTTGCTTCTCCTGTGTTACTTGTGCCCAAGAAGGATGGAACATGGAGATTCTGTATAGACTACAGAGCCCTAAACAAGATGACAATCAAGAACAAGTATCATATTCCTCTAGTAGAAGACTTGTTCTCAGAGTTAGCAGGCTCCACATATTTTTCAAAGATAGACCTAAGAGCTGGCTACCACCAGATCAGAATGAAAGAAGGGGAGGAATTCAAAACTGCATTCAAGACACACCAGGGTCTTTATGAATTCAAGGTCATGCCATTTGGCCTTACCAATGCCCCAGCCTCCTTTCAAGCCTTGATGAATGAGGTATTTCTGCCACACTTAAGGAAATTCATCCTTGTGTTTTTTGATGATATTTTAGTCTATAGCCCTTGCTTGGATACACATCTGGAACACCTTGCCAAGAAGAGTAAGTGCTTCTTTGCTCAGAAACAAGTGGAGTATTTGGGCCATGTACTCTCTGGTGAAGGTCTAGCCACTGATCCTGCTAAGGTGGAGGCAGTTGCCCTTTGGCCCAAGCCTAACACCATTAAAGCTCTAAGGGGATTCTTGGGCCTAACTGGCTATTACAGAAGATTCATTAGGGGATATGGAGTTATTTGCAGACCCCTGACAGACATGCTCAAAAAGAATGGGTTTATATGGTCTGAGGAAGCTCACCAAGCTTTTGAACAACTGAAGATAACTATGTGTGCAGCACCTGTCCTAGCCATGCCAAACTTTGAGAAGGAATTCAGTATTGAGGCTGATGCATCTTGTAGAGGAATTGGGGCTATTCTAATGCAAGAAGGAAGGCCAATTGCCTACTACAGCAAAGGGTTAGGGCCTAAACATGTTGGATGGTCCATATATGAGAAGGAGTACTTAGCCATCCTTAATGCAGTAGAGAAATTGAGACCCTATCTATAAGGGAGACATTTTATCATTCAAACTGATCATCAGAGTTTGAAACATTTACTGGAGCAGAAAATCACCACCCTGATTCAGCAGAGAGGCTTAACTAAATTGTTGGGATTAGACTATGCCATTGTGTACAAAAAGGGAAAAGATAACTCAGCAGCTGATGCATTATCCAGAAGAGGGGAGTTGGGAAGTTGCCAAGCCATATCCAATCTTAAACCCCTTTGGTTGGAAGAAGTTCTGCAAAGTTATAAGGGTGACAATTGGGTACAGGAAACAATCACTGCATTAATGATTGATCCAAATTCTGTGCCAGTTATGAAGATGGAGAATGGGTTGCTTAAACATAAAGGAAGGATGGTAATTGGAGCCCATGACCAATTAAGAGACAAGTTGATCACTGAGTTCCATAACACTGCACTAGGAGGTCACTCTGGGACACAGGTGACTTACAACAGGCTCAAGGCAGTCTTCTATTGGAAAGGCATGAAGAAGCAAGTTAAACTATATGTGAAGAGTTGTGACAACTGTCAAAGGAATAAATCAGAAAATATACATACCCCTGGGCTGTTACAACCTCTATCTATCCCTGAGCAGGCTTGGGTCCAAGTGTCCATGGACTTTATTGAGGGATTACCTAAATCTAATGGCAAAGATGTGATATTGGTAGTAGTAGACAGATTCACAAAGTATGCTCATTTCATGAGTTTGGCTCACCCTTTTACTGCAGAAAAAGTGGCCAATTTGTACATGGAAAATGTGTATAAACTGCATGGCTTGCCACAAGGGATAGTGTCAGACAGAGACAAGGTGTTTCTCAGCAAGTTTTGGAAGGAAATATTTAAAAAGATGGGTACTCAACTGCACATGAGTTCTGCATACCACCCCCAATCAGATGGGCAAACAGAGAGGATTAATAGATGTTTGGAAACTTACCTCAGATGCATGAGTTCCCATAAGCCTAAACAGTGGGAAGCATGGCTGGCCCTAGCAGAACATTGGTATAACACCAACCATCACAGTGCCTTAAAAATGTCTCCATTTCAGGCTCTATATGGCTACCCACCTTCCCAATTGGCTATCAATGACACAACAAGAGCAGCTGATGAAAATGCAGAAAGCTGGGTTCAAGGGAGGGTAAATATGCTAGCCATACTCAAAAGAATCTAAGTCAGGCTCAGCAGAGAATGAAGCACTATGCAGACAAAAACAGATCAGAGAGAACATTCTCAGTGGGAGATCTGGTTTACATAAAACTGCAGCCCTACAGACAAGTAACAATGGCTATTAGAAGGAATGTTAAGCTCAGTTCCAAGTTTTATGGACCCTATGAAGTATTAGAAAGAATTGGGCAGGTAGCTTACAGGCTGAAACTGCCAGCTGGGGCCTTGATTCACTCAGTTTTCCATGTTTCCCAGCTTAAAAAGAGGGTTAGTCATGGAAGGCAAGCTCACATGGAACCCCCTATGATTGGTCCTGATGGACAACCATTAACTGAACCAATAGCCATCCTTGGGAGAAGAATCCTAAAGAAAAACAATGCAGCATCAGTCGAAGTCCTAGTGCAGTGGGCTAACCTGACTCCAGAAGAAGCCACCTGGGAGGAGTATCACCACCTTATGTCTCAATTTCCCAATTTTAAACCTTGAGGACAAGGTTGCTTAAGGGGAGGGTACTGTAACAATGCTACCCAAAACGCTGCGTTTGATACTTAGGCAGTTACGGGTAGAAGTAGTTAGAAGCAAGGAAAAGACAAGAATGCCCTGCTTGTTATTACTTAAACCAACTGCTGTAACCGTTTCGTTTTGTTGAATGAATTCTCTTCTTTCGTTTCTTTTCTTTTCTCTTTCAATCTAAGAACTATAACAAAGCGGTGGTGAGGCGGCCGTCCTTCACAAGCGACAGCTCGTGGGGCTTGCGATCGTCCGGCTTCCGGGGTAGCATCCTCATGGTTGTACTGTGCAACGGACGGCGCAGTGGGGTTAGTTCCGATCCTCTTTCGTTTTTTATTTTTCCCTCTTTTTTAATTTGTTCGTCTAATCAATGCTCCTTTTTACATATACAAAACCCCTGCCTCCTGCCCTGTACCGTGAATTGCAGAAAAAACGAAACTTTACAGTCGATTAGTGTGTACAAGAGCTCAATTTGCCAGTGCATGTTGCTTGTTCCCTTTTTTTTCTTCCATCTATTTGTGGTTTGGTGTTTTATCATGCATCTCGTACAGTCTCTGGCTTTTGTGAACTGGTGGGGGGTTGTTATGTTGGTAGGTAAGGGTGGTGTAGGAAGACAGCTACATAGTAACAGCTTCATGAGGCTTTAGATAGGTGTGGTGTAGGGAGACAGCAACATAGAACCTTCTCTAAACTGTATTCTATTTGTCATCTTTAAATATGTTTCACAATGAGGCTGTTTTTGTACCTTCTTTGGAAATCCTTGGCAGTGCACGAGCGGTGGCATGGGTATATGGGGCTTTGCAGCGTGGCGTCTCATTTGCTACACACAAAAAACGCGTCGCGCGATCATGCCCGATGACCTGTAGTGGTAAAGGTTCCTTGAAAAGCAAAAATCCAGCCAAGCCAGAGGAAATGAAATTGGTTGCAAAGTTCATTACAGTAGCTTGTGGAGACGATAGAACTTTTAGGCTATTAGCATAGCAACCCTGCATTATCACGTTGCACAGTACAACCATGCCATATTTAAGAACCTGTCAAAGAAATTGCAAGAATTAATAACACCAGTAATTAAGAGAAAGGCAATACGGTAATGAATCAAGGAGTTATTTGAACTCCAATTGATGCATTGAAATCAATATTGAATCCATTTTATTCACTTTGGGTTTGTATCGTGGTGGCTGAGTGTAAGCCAGTGTGGGTGTTGCTTTTTTGGGGGGACTGTATTTCTTATTGTGTATTCATTCTCATTTGCTAGAATATGGGTGTATTTTTGTTTATATTGGCAGTACTCCTCTTAGGTAATCACCAGGTGAATGCATGTGTTATTAATTCTCACTTTAGGCTGTAGTGCTTTTGTAATCCAATGTGTTACTACTGTTGCATTGGGATCCCCATCATGAACATTATGCTAGCTAGTTTGCAAAGGAAGATGGGCTTTGATGTCATGCTAGGGCTGTTGCATAAAAATTCCATAATTGAAGAAAACAATAGTTCTGTGCATCAGGTTTCGCATGAATAAGATAAGTGGATGATTCTTACTAGCTAAATGCCTAAATCAACTAATAATTGTATCCCTTCAAAAAAAAACTAATAATAGTATCGTATTGCAGCAGTTCTGCAGCCAAAGCCTCTAAATATTCCAGGAATACCGCCATTTTTTTTTATCAAGGTTACAGATTATTCGTTAGGATGCTAACCTGTCTGCTTTGGGGTGTCTCAGGTCGGGATGCACAACATGCGATTCAACTAACTGATGACGGAAGCGAGTATGGTGAGGACTTCTACACCCCGCCACGGGTCCTCGAGGATGTGGGGCTCAAAGGGTCTCCGCGGACAACCGGTTTCCCCAGATCAACATGCGGGGGATGCCCAAGGAACTTGTTCGGGTTGTCGGACGTGCACTGATTAGGTAGAATGCAAAACTGCTGCATTCCGGTTTTGGCCAACTATAGTTTAGACATTAGTTAGTACATGGGTATTATCTTTTGATATGAGAGCATGTCGGTTTGGTCACCTATGGTTTAGTCATGCGTGAGCTAACTGTTTGCGTGCAATAAGGAGGTGCTTAGTTTGCTTTTTGGTTCAAATATATCCTGCGTATACATTTGGCGTGTGCAGAAAAAGTGCGTTGGGGGTGGGGGGCACAAACCAATTGATCAAATGTTGAGTAATTGGAAGCATTCTAACCACAATTTCACCTTATCGACATCCCTCCTTCACACCCTATTACAATCTGCCAGGCCATTCATATAAACTCATTAAGCATAAATATATAACCAACAAATTTAATTTAAAATATAGACTTGAACATTATATTTTAATGACCAACTTTAACACTAATTGACAGAATAAAATTAAACATCTAAAAACAGTATAAGAATTCTCCCAAACTGCACACCACGAAGAATGGGTTCATCATCATATTTTTATTGTGAATAGTTGGGTGAAGCACATTTTGGGACATCTCGCCCTCTATTTGTATACAATTCGTTCACAAGTTTTTAAAAATCTAATTCAAAGTCATTGCTAAAAAATGTATTAAAGTATTCTCACATGGGGGGAATAACAAAAGGAGGGACTCGTTCATTAACAAAAGGGACAACAAATTGAACAAAATTAATCTAAACCAATTCAAGTAAACTAGAATGGAATTAGCGTTATCTCCTTCGCCCCGGGACCATGGGGTATGACAAACTAATCCAGGCTGCACTTGGAAGGACAACTACAAGCATTATGACAAGCATAATCACCGCACAACCCGCACGATTGCATCAACATACGATTGCAAGTCAAGTTTAAAATTATGGAACTCCATGTCCATTGCACCAACGTTTTCAAAGGAACCAGCCACCTCCTTACATAACCTAAACCCAGTGGAAGAACCAACGTTAGCCTTAACGCAATTTGCTAGAAATGCTTGTTGGGACACATTAAGCTTCCAGTTACATACCCTGCATAAATAATTTTGCACCCTCGGAGCACAGACTGTGGTTGTGTTCCTCGACAAATGTAGACACCATAAACTCCCCAGTACTCTCTTTCTTAAATCCAAGCTTAGCGCGACACCCCACTCTGTTAGAGGTCCGTCTCCGTCATTGCTTGTTGCTACCACTACCGATACTAAGTTCCACTGTTGGTTTGTTCCTGCCACCTCCTTTGGCACCTTGTCTGCTGCATACTAAATAACAGGATATAATTTCACCACCACGATCTCGCTTAACAGAATTACACCTGGTGTCGAATCCACCTGCTAATCCGTAGGTTTTATAGAATTGGAAAATCAAGCATTGGAGTGCACTGTAGGAAGACAGCAACACAGTAAACTAATGATTGCTAATGGTGTACAAGGATGTTATGAACACAATGCATACAATTTTTGCATTGCAACTGGTCGAAATGTTATCACATGCCTACACTGCACCACAAACCAAACTGGTTACTACTGATTGTCTGTACGCCAAAGGGTCTGCCATGCATCGAGGACTGAACTTAAAGATCCTAACACCATATATTTTATTTTGTTACTAGTACTGCGTGCACTTAGTCCCCCTCTTAAGAAAAAAATCTAATATCCTTAACCAATTCAACACAGTTATACAAGGAATCTTTAGCAATTACAGTGTCGGAAGTTATAATTTTAATAACTAGAGAACACATAGACACTATTAAACGAGGGGGAAAAATGGGCTACTGGTTAAAGAAAGAAAGAAACATTCATTATTATGGAGGGGAATTATCCATGCACAGCATGTGTGCCGGTGCGTCGTAAGGGGGTGTACTGTACGATCATTTAGATCAATCGGATGCACGTAATCAATGGACTGGATGAGTGCACACGGTTCACACTTTAAGCTAAGAGAAAATTAGCCATATATATATATATATATATATATATATACACATCGACTTGTCGACTAGTATCCTGCCGAGCATCGATCCTCCTTGAGCCTCTCTTCTCCTTTCTTGTGACTAACATCCAAGAAGCATATTTGCCAGAAAAATCTTGCACTGGCTGCACCGGCGGGTTTCTTAGGGGATGTAGGTTGGCGTCCCCTCTCCTCATCTGATTCGCCTTAGTAGCAGGTTCCACGTTGCCTCCCGGCACCATCCTTACCGCATTGGGCTTGCCAATGGCCATACAAGCCACAATTGAAGCACCCCCTCGTACTCAATGGGTCTAACCTTTTGGTACATGGTGAATTTTGATAACAGCGGCTTCGTGAGATCGATTTCCACGCACACTCGGGCGAATTTCCTCTTAGAGACTAGGCTGGTAGCATTGTCCACTTTAATATATAGGACAGGCAACTCTTTTTGCAATTTTCCTCAGAAATTCCTCTTCCAAGTATTCGATGGGCAAAGAAAAGAACCTTACCCAGACAAGTAGCTTCTCTATTGTGTTGTTCAATGGGTCAAAATTTGGTTTCCATTCTTCTAGTATCATCCACGACCCTTCGTAGTCCCTAAGCAATTCGAATTTGGCTAGGGCGCAATCGGCTCGAAGACGGCCTCAGGTTTCTACATCCTCTGGATCGGAGTCTCTACAGAAGATAAGCGTAACTAACTTTCCGCCCAAGAACTTTGCAAATCAACAATCTGCGCCAAGGTTTTCTGATTCTTTCCTTCTCTTCATTCGTTATTGGGATCATCGGGTTACTTGGATCCATTCTGTCTTCCTCCATATATGACTTCATCATCAGAGACTGCATCCTTGTCCGCTAGGTCATTAAACTCCTTACGTCCCCAAGCGTGATTCGGAGTCGCATCCGGGCAGATTCCGGCGACATCAACTCAGCGTCGAGCGGTGTTTCTTGAACTCTGTCCCCTGACAGTAGCGGGGAAGACACCTCCATATCAGTCCGTCCTTTTTTCAACTTCTTAGCATTGCGGTCAGACATTTCTTGAACCTCCGGCGACTGAGAGGTCGCCGTCGGTATGGCGGTTTCAGAGAGAGAATCTGAGACTATTTCCATACGGTAGAGTACATTGAATCAATTCAATCCATGAGTTATTTTATTTGCAAGGGAGTGAGTCATTTAGTATTTCATTAAAAGTATGTATATTGTTCTAATATATATGGAGTATATAGATCTATAGATTTCATAATTTCTATTTTTTTTAAAAATCTAATATATCCGAAACTTTTTAAATAATCTGATAGTTTTTCATTATTAAATATCCGACGATTTAAACAAATTTTTTAATTGTATTAGGTTTACAAAAATCAATCCAAATTTGGAACAAATATGCCTTCCATGCCCCAATCCGTCCAAACCCAATAGTTATGCTGTGCAACCGAATGTACCATGCGTATGGTGCATACGGTTCAAAACGACATCGTTTTGATTAAAAACGCGCATCCCACTTAAAAAAAAAAAATCAGGTTCGACTCTCAGCAATAGCATTATTGTGGATATATAATTATGAAATTGTGGATATATAGTTATGAAATTGTGGTTATATAGTTATGAATTTATGGATATTTAGTTCATTCATTGTGGATATTTAGTTCAATCATATATTGTGGATATTTAGTTCATTCATTGTGGATTTTTACTTCATTCATTCATTCATTGTGGATTTTTACTTCATTCATTCATTCATTGTGGATTTTTACTTCATTCATTCATTCATTGTGGATTTTTACTTCATTCATTCACTATGGATATATAGTTATGAAATTGTGGATATATAGTTATGAAATTGTGGTTATATAGTTATGAATTTCTGGATATATAAAAATGCTATTGCCGGGAATCGAACCTGATTTCTTCTTTAAGTGGGACGCGCGTTTTTTTTTTTAACCAAAACGGCGTCGTTTTGCAACCGTATGCTGCAAGGTGCATTCGGTTGCACAGCATAATTTGCGGTCCAAACCCAGCTGATGCCTGTATAGAATAAGTGTAATGACGTCATTGGATTAGAAGTTTGAGTAAGTTAGGGTCTCTTTGGAAATTAGGAAAATAAATTTTGAAAAATGTTTTCTAGAAAATGAGTCATTTTGTAGAAAATATTTTTCTTTCCCGTATTTGGTTGTACAATAGAAAACTGTCGTTGTGTGTTTGGTTCATTGTTTAGAAAATGAGCGGAATTGTATTATTATTATTATTATTATTATTATTATTATTAAATGACATTCAGGTTGATTCTTACCCTTCAAAATGTAGATCAATTATGAAAGCATAATTGCACTTCTGTTCTTTGAAATCATTATTAATTTTACTGTAATTTACCTGCTTTCATCTTTATTATAGTGGTTTTTATCATTCATGTGTTTGTGGCACCTATAACTGTAGTATCTTCTTTACACTTCAAGTGTATTTAAATCCAAGTCTTTTATATGTGAAAGGAAATGTATTGTTTTTGAGTGCTAAAAAAGCCTATCATCCTCACTGTAAATGCCAAATCTAAAAGATACCATTATCTTTTAGTTTTTACTTAACTTTAGATGCTCTAATTTATGTTCTCTGTATGTACTACAACCGACTTTCTCATGCTTGTGTTCATTTCTTCAGATCTTTCGTACTCCTTTAGGGATGCTTTCCACTGAGCAAGGAGCTTATATTGCTGAATCCATACATTTTCAGCTAAGAACACAAAACAACCGAAAGGCCGTTGCATTTAAAATTTAATTCTATACTCATAATTGTTCTAAATTGCCTAAAACTTTCGGTTTTATAATATCAATTGGTAGGCATTTGTTTTAACTATTTTATTTATATTTTTATTCCCCTCTTTTAGACAAGGACAATGATAAGGGAAAGACAGTCGTTTGGTGAGAATTCAACTGAATGGTGAAGTTCGACTCAATGCCGGTGAAGTTCGACTCAATGCCAGTGAATTTCTCTGGTTTTTCAGCCGATCCACTCGGTACGGAAGGTACCCAAGTCATGGGAGTGTATCTCTCGGTGCCCTCACCGTCTTGTGAACCTACGTTCACCGGTAGTGCATGGGAATTCGCAACATTGTTGCCGTTCCCACCACTATTGTTCTCAACAACATTTTCCTCCCCATGAATTGGCAGTACGAGGTTCTCCATTTCTTCAAGAAAATTAGGAGACAACAACCAACGGGAAAACGAGGATAAAGTTTTAAGACTGTTGGATATCTCATTGGTAAAACCGAATAATAATCT